AACAAATTTGTTCAACATTACATAATTGCAAGCCAATTTATATCAACAAAATCAACACTATCATTTCTAACCATTAACTAAGACTTTTTTTTTTTCATTTTTAATAATTTAATGTTGAAACTGGCATTTAGATCTATTTTGATTTTTGAATGAGTGTTTGATTAAAAATATTAAATTTAACTATATTTTTATTATACAAATATATATTTTGTTATAGTTTTAATATTGCGTCAAATATCGTATGATACAATACGATAAAAAATATGTATAGAAAAACGACACATTTTGTATTTTCGATTATAACATTAGTTTTAAGATTTCTCATTATTTTAACTCATTATTAACTTATATAAAAAATAAACCTTAGGATGTAGGTTCCTAGTGCCAAAACTAATTAGAACCTAATGAGAAGTCTAACTACATATTTGCTTCATATCCTTTATAAATTTCATTAAAAAAATGCCCCCACACATAAAAATAAATTCTGCACCAAGTAATATTTAAACTGCATTTATCATTTTATATTTTGCACTAAACATTCTCATTTTTGTTATTATCTTTTTCTGTAAGACATGTTTTTTTTCATTGTTTGCATTTTCGTATTTTTCTACATACTATTGCAAATTATGAATTCTTTTTTTTTTTTTGTTTTTTTCTTAAATTTTTTTCGGCCGTAGTCATCTATAGAAACCTGTAGGAAATCGTAGTAGTCCGTAGTCAAGTATAGACACTCGTAGGAAACTGTAGTAATCCGTAGTCACATATTCTTAAAACCCTAACTCCTCCTTTAAACCCTAGCCGCCTGCTGCAGGCCGAAACCCACAATGGAAAAGAGATAGAAAACAACAGAGAACCGGGAATCACTCAACCGGCGGCAGCGGACTCACTCGACGCTACTAATCATCGAATCACTCAACGCGACCAAGTCACTCACTTGTATAAAGAGGAATCACTCACTCTCAATGCAATTAATTTGCAAGATATTTTAAACTTAAACAATCATCTCCCATTTTATTTATCTAAAGGGTGCTTATAAAGTAGTTTTAGAACATCCCTCCATAACATAGAAAATTACAAAGCTTGAATGACTTATCATCTTCTAATTCTAGAAAATAAATAAACTTGACCTTGACTCATGAAATACATAATATGACCTGATTAATTGATAACAAGATAAATAATTCGAACTTAGACTAATAAAATAAGTAGAACGCTAAGAAATACCAAAAGACACAAGACCTTCGGCCTGAGGGCAGTTGGCAGGTTCTAGAACATTAAGCATAACTTCCTTCTCGGACCTATTTTGTAAACCGACTTTTTTTTTTTGCTGGAAACTAGAATTTCAGAGCTTGAACCATATATAGCAATAAATTTAACTCTTCGGGAATCTAAACAGGTGATTTTTCAAAGTTGACTGATCTACAAACACCAATTTTGCATCATTCTGTCCTTCTTGAAAAGAACTCGTCCTCGAGTTCGAACCAAAACATCGATTGTCTGTTTTTTTTTTTAAATGTTTGTTGGAAAGTAAGTTCACTGGAGTTTTGAGACAATTGTGACTTGGTGTACCTTTTAATGAAAGAAAAACATACCTAGTCACCTTCTTGAACCACGAAAAAATGTACGACTTTGCATATTTCTCGAACGTGAATTTCAACATGTCAATCATAGACTGAGGCACCATATCCACACAACTGCATGAATCAGTCATCAAAATATACTCTTTGCATATAGAGAGACAAGGTGTTTGAAATGTATTGTTGCAAAACCATACGTCATCTTGTTGGATCGAGATCTCCCCTTGAATAACAAGACTTCCCATCTCCCAATTTTCATGATGATTCTCTTCCTCAGCCTCATGCTCAAATTCTTAATCAGAATGAGGGGGTTTGTCTTCTTCATCATATTGATCTTCCTCGACAAGGTTAATTCCATCAAGATTTTCCACTAAAAAAAAAACCTCTGGTGAAGCTTTCTAGTCACAGTAGTCATCCGCATTTACTATTGTATCAGTTTCAGCAGCGAATGAATTTTCAAAAATATTGGTTGAACTTGAGGAATTGTCAAGTTCGCCATGGGCTTCGCTTATAGAATTTTGAGAAATATTTCCATATTTTGAGTAGGAGAATTTTGTCTTGCCAGAAGTTCATCTACCCTTTGTCGAAATTCAACAATTTCCGCGTGGACATTGACTTCGACAATATTTCTTCGGCGACGGGGTGGCATTTTATTTGATTAGAGTATGTACAACAAGGTGACCTAACTGATACCACTTGATGCAGGCCGAAACCCACAACGGAAAAGAGATAGAAAATAATAGAGGACCAAGAATCACTCAACCGGCAGCAGCGGAGTCACTCGACGCTATTAATCACGGAATCATTCAACGCGACCAAGTCACTCACTTGTATAAAGAGGAATCACTCACTCTCAATGCAATTAACTTGCAAGATATTTTTAAACTTAAACAATCATCTCTCATTTTATTCATCTAAATGTTGCTTATAAAGGAGTTTTGGAACATCCCTCCAAAACATAGAAAATTACAAAGTTTGAATGACTTATCATCTTCTAATTTTATAAAATAAATAAAGTTGACCTTGACTCATGAAATACATAGAACATGACCTAATTAATTGATAACAAGATGAATAATTCGAACTTAGACTAATAAAACAAGTAGAATACTAAGAAATACCAAAAGACACAAGATATTCGGATTTCCCGAGTGCAGTTGGCAGGTTCTAGAACATTAAGCATAACTTCTCCCTTGGACCTTTGTTTCGTAAACCGTTTTTTGTTGGAAACTAGAATTCCAGAGCATTCTAACCGTATATAGCAATAAATCTAACTCTTCGGGAATCTAAACTGGTGATTTTTCAAAGTTGACTGATCTGCAAACACCAATTATGCATCACCGCCAGACACCCATAGACACTCACACACATTTGTAGATATGAAATCGAAAAATATTAGATGCGCCCCACCAACCTAGATCCGCAACACCAGCATCACCCACGTTGCGTCGCCATCCCCACCCCAACATCGTTGCGCCACCGGCACCATCCCCCAATCCCGAGCACCGCCGAGCGAGCCCCGTCCTCATACCCAACGCCGTGTCACCACCAGCACCTTCCCCAGAGTCGTCGCTGCCGCCGCTATCTTCATCCCTCCCCCCCATGCCGCCACCTCTAGCGCCACAGTCGATTCCATCGTCATAGACATAACCTCAAGCTATAGTGGATCGTTGAGGGTCTGACTCACACATGAAGGTTCTATGGCGTGTGGTATCTGGTTACTAGAGAAAGTTGTTTAGGCTTGTGAATGGCATGCATAGATCTAGTAGCTATCGAAAAGACAATGCGAATGATAACTGGTTTTACCACAAGACTAAAATTCTCAAAGTTATCTAGACGTGGACATTGATTAGATCCCTTTGTGACCACCCGTTCTTTGAATCGATCCACAAAACCATCTGATTTTTCCTTAATTCAAACCCCATCGACAACCAACCAAGTTAATACCTTTGAGGGCAAACACTAATTCATAAATAACTATGACACATAAGAGCAGTAAGCTTATTAGACATAGCCTCAAGCCATAGTGGATCGTTGATGGTCTGACTCACACATGAGGGTTCTATGGTGGGTGGTATCGGGTGCTTCGTTACTAGGGAAAGCTGCTTAGGATTGTGAATGACATGCATAGATCTAGTAGTCATGTTATGTGTTCGAACATATTGTACTTCAGGCATATGTTCTTAGTTAATAAGCGTAGAAGTAGGAATTGGGTCTGGGAGTGGGAAATTGCTGGGAGAGTTTATGGGTAGGGTTTGGTGATTAAAAATTCCATTATCTAATAAAGGTAAATGAGAAGGCGATATGCCTGAAGGAGCATGAGAAATAGAGATGATCCCCATCCATTGTGCCAAGCTTTGGTGATGATATATAGCAGTGATTGCGGTAAACTAGACTTGTAGTGTTGAACGGCTACTGGAGATGAATTGGTTACTGATTGAGAAAAGAGAAACATGGTTTCATCAAAGTGAACGTGTCGTTATAGATAGAGTCGTTGAGCATGGGTTTCGTAGCAAAAATAAACATGTGCATTTGGAAAATAAACATGCATGTTCATCAGAAGGATTTCCATTCTCTTATTGTGGAGTCGTGGATGTTGTTACATGATTTTGAAGCAGTGGATATAAAGTTTGGATACAGAGAAGTGAATGGAGTGGCAGATTTCTCCGCAAGACTTTGGGTCTACGTTGAAGAATAATGTGTTTTGACTTTTGATAATTGTCCGGATTTTTTGTACGATGCTTTTGACAGACTTTGTAGTTTTCCCTCGTACTAAATCTATTGTTTTGAAGCATTATGATAATTAAATTTGGTTTATGCTAAAAAAAATGACCTGGAAATGAAAATGGAGAAAAGTTGTTTACAAATAATGGAGAGTTGTTTGAAATAATCGTTTTTTTTTTTTGGTAATCCAATGCCCTTTCTTGTAATTATTGCGTACTTAAGAGATAACTATTTATAAATTATAGTAATCCAACGTCCTTTCTTGTCATTATAACATTAAAAAGATCGTATATTGTCAAACACTTTAAGAGCATACAATGAGTAAATTAACTTATAAGCTCCTTATCCAAATACTTTCAAAACTAATCCAGAAAATAAGACGTAGCAGCTTATTAGCTCATAAAACAACTTATTAGATATAAGAGATCACCAGATGTTACAAAAAAGCATAGCAAAACACGCTCTAAGTGATATTAAGATTTCTCGAGAGGTGTGATTAGGGATGATGGCAATGAGGCGGGTTTTGCAATCCCAATCCCCGCCCCGCAAAAGAAATTCCCGTCAAAATTCCAAACTTTACAAAAATTTATGTATGTTTATGATTATTATATTTATGTATATTTTTTTACTTTTTTCCATAGTCAAAGTTGAATCATATTCTTATCTTGCCACATAAATTTATCTCATTTTAAATTACAGGGGCATCAAACTAAATTGTACTTTATGGGACACATTTGCGGAAGACATAGATGTATTTTTTGCTAATCATAATCATGGGGAGCCTGTAATCATTATCTTACAGTATTGCAGGATCAAGACGTACAATGGTATGCATTATCTATTTAAGAAAAAAAAAACCAATATTTAATGTCCATGGTTGAAGACGGTTCACTTAAACATATCTTCATACTTAAGTTGATTTTTTTTTTATTTCATGACAGGCAAAAACAATATTACAAATTCGTATTATGGAATTACAATGACGATAAACCCAAAGTTGAAAGAATGTGAGGATTACAAAGAAAAGTAAGTCATATTTTAAAATATATTTTATATTTTATGAATAAGCCTGTTGTTATTAAACAAATCTGCATATATACAGGCTAGCAATGAGAGATGCGTCATTTACTCAATCTGTCAGTCACATTTCAAGTCAACGTTCAATCACTATTTCTGCTGATCTACTACAAACCAATAGAATGACAATTGCTGATGTGGTTGAATCCACAACTGTAAGTATTGTAACATTGTTTCACATTTGTTTCACATTTTGTTATTCATTACATCTAACTAATTCCATGTAATCAATTATAGGTAGCCAATGGTGCATTACTTGCAAAGGTCGTGGAAATTGAGTCCCAAGATAAATGGTGGTATGAATCGTGCGTCACATGTTTTAAGAAAGTGGAGACTTCTGGTACAACATTTTACTGTCCAAATTGTCGCACCACGGTTATGGTTGTGCCTAGGTAATAAAGTTACAGTTCACCATAACATTTCATTTAATAATTAAGTATATCTTATTTATACAAATAACTCACTTACAACTAGGTTCCGAGTCCAAGTCAAAGTGATTGATGACACTGGATCTGCTTCATTTGTCATGTTTGACCGCGTTATTGCCCAGTTATTAGGTCGAAGTGCATCTGATATTATAACCGATTTACGTAAGGTAATATTTTTTGCAAATTAGTATAATCTTTCACATATTTCATTGACTATGCTCTTTTACGTGTCATATATCTAACTACGATTTATTTTAAAGGAAAAATTGATTGGGCTATTTCCTAGGGAGTTTGATGCACTGATTGACAAGACTTTTTTGTTTAAAGTGGACATTAGTTCCTTAAACGTTGCAAACAAATGGTCGGTTTACATGTAGCACCCCCCTTCTAGACGGGCGATAAATCGAACCGGTTTATCGGAATATTTATTAAACTAGCGGAAGCAAAGGATCTCTTTGTAATTTTTGAAACATTGGAATGGGGTGAAAATGCAATTATCAAAACTTTATTCTTTTGGGTATTGAAGGCTTTGCATTTTCGAAAATTTTGTTGGATTGCTTTAGCCGAATACTAAGCTTGATTTAGAAATAGGAGGTTTCTCATTCGAGTGCTACATTCTCACTAAACCCGTTTTTTTTTTTTTTTTGGTTCGAGAATAAATCAGAGTTCGGAAAGGATATTTTTGTTGAATAATTCGAAGTTCTCTAACGGAGGCATGGGAATAGCAAATTACGAAACTTACTATATTAAAGTAGGAATTAAGTACGATTCATAATGAAAATGAGTTCAAAAGTACGAAAAGAGAAATGTTACGGTTTAGGGTTACACCACCAAAAGAAAATAACCAAAACTCTAGCATCGTTCATAGGTCCTCGTACGTCTTCCAAAATCCCGGGCAAGACCTCGATCCACTACTCGATCCATCCCGGTTGAGGATTACTACTACCTGCAATTAAAAGACATCTATATGAGCTATAAAGCTCAGTAAGAAATCCGAGTATTATCGAACTTTGGAAATACGTTATACATAATATATAATATTGTATACCCGTTCTTACCCACGTTTCGCACCACAACACAAGGCAATCGGTCAATTCACATATCTCACGAAAACACATCATTTAACAAACTCACGTAATTATGCAAAATGACTAAAATGCCCTTTTTTGTGAAAATCATGAAAAACACATTTTTCGGTTTATCGGATCCGTGAAAGATTAATTTCTGTACCGGATAATAAACCTATTACGAGCCCGTTTTCACTAAGTGGAATCAAACCACTACCACATCATCCTAGTTGGATACCGGCCCACTATATCCGAGTTGTTTATTACCCGATATTCCATTAACCTTTCAAATAAAATCATTTAATGCAACTTTTCGAAATAATGTTATAACCCACACATGACATCACAAATATCAATCAAGTGCCACAAATCACACAAATATCACAATTTACCACATAATTGCACTTTGGGCAAAAATCCCAAATTCACACACACAACCACACACGGCACACACACCATGCACAATCAGCACACACACCTTCACATATTTTCAGCACACACCCGTGCACAATCAACACATTAAACATCACTAATCACTCATCAAAACAAGCTCAAGAACAAATACCTTTTTACCTTCATTTAATGGACTTATTACCACATCTAGGTAATAATCCATTTCAATCAATTTCTCACAGCCATTAAACACATTCAGCAGCAATTAAAGTACCAAAATACCAAAATTCATCACTCATCACCATTAAATCAAGAACATAAACATTAAAGCACAAAACATGTTAAATGGTATGCAAATTGTCCTAATTTCGAAATATTAGCAAACTAATTTCAAAAATTCTCAAATTAAATCCTAGAATTCCTAACTGACTCAAATTCCAGATTCTGAAATTATTTTAAATTTTCACAAAGTTTCGAATTTTCTTGAAATTAAAAACTAGAAAATCCCTTTTTCAATTTAAAAATCTAAAACTCTTATATAACTCTAATTGGTTTAAAAACTTGTTGAATAAAACTTTTTCCTATCTAATACTTGCTGAAAAACAGATCCAAACTAAAAAAATGAGGGATTTTTCGGAAATTGCAGTTTTGACCCAAAAGTTTCGAAATTTATACATGCAACCACACTAGAAGTTCAATTTCTACTTTTTCATGAAAACCCCTAACAAATCTGAAATTCCACTTTACTAAATGCAGAAAGTGAAGTTGAAAAGTTGTTTTATGCAGAAATTTCGGAAATTGCACAATTTACCCCAAAATCTCTAGATCTACACATGCAAGTCTACTAGAATTTCAAAATCAACTTTTTCTTACAAAAATTCTTTAAATCCGAAAATTTTGTTCAATAAATGCTGGAAAATAGTTTTGAAAACATTTTTCGGACAGACTTCACAAAAATTACAGATTTGACCCAAACTTTCGAAGATCTACACATGCAACCACAAAAAGTTAAAAATTTCATTTTCTTGAAAATCCCTTTTTGAAATCTGAAAATTTTAAGGCTTTTGGCCAATAAAAGTTGTATCTAACCACTATCAACTTAGATGATGCATGCAAGAACAAGAATTTAACAAAAAACACTTATTTTCCATTTTTCTTCAAAAATCCCTAAATTTCGAAATCTTCCCCAATCTTTTAGAATTTCATGAAAATCATTTCCATACTATTGATGTCCCTTAATTGCAGCAAGAAATCGAATTTCTTACCTTAAAATCGAAGAAAGAAAACAGCCGAAAGGGAGGGGGCTTTCAAGCACCGAAGTCCAACCAAGCCACCTTGATTGTGAAGGAGATGGTGTGAGCTTCAAGGAGGGAGGAGTTGTGATCTCCCGTAAGGAGGAAAGTGGTTTTGATGGTATTTTAGGAGTAGTCTATGGCAAGAGTTAAATAAGGAACTCTCATTTTTATGTCGGGAATTTTTTTGAAAATGTGAAGTGAGGTGGAGAGAGGAGAGCCGATGATGGTGGTGATTGTTTCGGTGGAAGGAAGACAAGTGATGGTTGAGGTGTAGGAAGAAGAGAGATGAAGGGTGTCTCTTCATCTCACTAATGAGGGTGTTGAGTGTAGGCTTAGATAAAATGATTAGCATTTCCCAAGTGTAAGTGCATGCCTAATTAACATAATTTATTTATTTAATTCAAATCACAACTTGCATCTTAACACACACACATCATCCGAATACACACACAATTTCGGACATATATATATATATATATATATATATATATATATATATATATATATATATATATATATATTTACACATATACCTATATATATATATATATATATATATATATTTTGTGTGTGTGTGTGTATATATATATATATATTTCACACTATATATATATATACATATATATATATATATATATATATATATATATATATATATATATATATATATATATATATATATATATATATATATATATATATATATATATATATATATATATATATATATATATATACACACACACACACACACACACACACATATATATATATATATATATATATATATATATATATATATATATATATATATATATATATATATATATATATATATATATATATATATATATATATATATATATATATATATATATATATATATATATATATATATATATATATATATATCTATATATTTAAATGCATAATGTAAATATTAGCATATATGTATGTATAAGTATGCATGCATGTATGTACGTGTATGTATGTACGTATACATATAGGTATATATATATATATTCCACATGATTTACCAAGTAATTTATCAAACAAATATAATACGCAATTATTCACATAATTCATGTAATTCACGAAATTCCTAGGACTTCAATTTACGAAAATTTAAATCATGTAAATCACACATGTAATTATTCACGTAAGTAGTATAGTTAAATTCACGTAATGCATATAATCACGTATTAATATTTCCTAAGGGTTCTCGAGTTAGGAATATTAATCCCGGGTCTTAGGATTTTCGGGTTTTGGAAAGGTGGGGTGTTACAATCTCCCCCCCTTAAAGAAATTTTGTCCCCAAAATTGTTACCTGAACAACTCGGGGTATCGCTCGCGCATTTCTTCTTCTCGTTCCCACGTAGCTTCTTCGGGTGTATGGTTTTGCCAAAGGATCTTAACGAATTTAAGGTCTCGGTTTCGAAGAGTTTTGGTTTTGAAATCAAGTATTTGGGAAGGTTTCTCTTCGTAAGAAAGGTTAGGGTTTAGATCGATCGGTTCGGTTTTCAATACATGGTCTGGACTGCGAATGTATTTTCGAAGCATCAAAACGTGGAAGACATTGTGAAAGTTGGATAAGTTGGGCGGTAAGGCGAGTCGGTAGGCGCGAGTACCAACTTTGTCGAGAATTTCGAATGGGCCAATAAATCGCGGTGCTAATTTTCCCTTTTTCCCAAATCGCATGATTCCTTTGAAAGGCGCCACTTTTAAGAAAACGGAGTCTCCGACTTCGAATTCGAGATCTCTTCTTCGAGTGTTGGCGTAGCTTTGTTGCCGATCTTGGGCAATTCGCATTTTCTCTCGGATGTTTTTGATGATATCGACGGTTTGTTGGACTAGGTCGGGACCAAGGAATTTCCTTTCGCCGATTTCGTCCCAATGGAGTGGGGATCTACATTTGCGGACGTAAATGGCTTCGTAGGGTGCCATTCCAATTGACGAGTGAAAGCTATTGTTGTATGCGAATTCGATTAGTGGAAGGCGGGATTCCCAATTTCCTCCAAAGTCGAGAATACAAGCGCGGAGAAGATCTTCTAGGGTTTTGATAGTTCGTTCGGATTGGCCGTCAGTTTGGGGGTGATAGGCGGTGCTGAATTTTAATCTCGTTCCGAGGGTTTCGTGTAAACTTTTCCAGAATTTTGATGTGAATCGAGGGTCTCGGTCGGAAATAATGGAGACGGGGACACCGTGGAGTCGGACTATCTCGCGGACGTATAATTCGGTCAGCTTCTCTAAACTGAACGTCATTCGGATCAGAAGAAAGTGAGCCGTTTTGGTCAGTCGGTCAACGATCACCCAAATGGCGTCGGATCCTCTTTGGGTCTTCGGAAATCCTTGCACGAAGTCCATTGTGATAGCTTCCCATTTCCATTCCGGAATTAGGTTCGATTGAAGTAGACCTCCAGGTCTTTGATGTTCCGCTTTGACTTGTTGGCACACTAGGCATTCGACGACAAGTCGGGCCACGTCTTTCTTCATTCCAGGCCACCAGTACAGCTTTTTGAGATCTTGGTACATCTTGGTTTCTCCAGGATGGCAAGTGTACGTGGTTTGGTGAGATTCGGTTAAGATTAGTCGGCGAACGTTGGGATCATTGGGGACGTAAATGCGATTTTGGAATCGGACGAGGCCATCTTTGGTGATTTGAAAGTTGGGATTGGATTCGAGTTTATCGCGGATTTTGAGAATTTGAGGGTCGTTTTGCTGGGCTGATTTGATCGATTCTCCCAAGTTAGGTTGGACTATGAGCGCGTTGATCGATTTGCGGCTAAGTGCGTCGGCGACCACATTTGCTTTGCCGGGGT